AACACATTCGTTTGATCTGAATCTCGAGTTCCGAGAGCGTTCGACTCGTCTCATCGCGATAATTTTTCACCGTACATCAGATGAATTATGTGACACAAAAATATTCCTCACTTGTAGATCATAGATAGTTTTGATATAATCGGCGAGCAGTCGCTCCGCTAATAGAAGCAACAGGTGTACCGCAAGGTGGTCTATTCGGGCCGCAAGTTTTTTGTTTACATTTCACGAATTTATTGCATATGTTGACGTCTTGAGGCGCTCGTTTGATTCATGCGCCCGCGTCGCTTTTTAATACTGATTTACAATAAAAACAGAACTGTTTCACCGGCGATTGATGCGAGTTATGATTAATGTCGAGCCTTTGATGTCGGCTGCTATGAATCTATCGAGCTGGCTTCTGAATATTGACGCCGTGTATAAATAAACTAACGTGAGTTGTACGAGTTTCGAATTCGTTTTAGTTAATTATGAGATTATTAAGGAGTTTGCTTACGTTACAACGATATTGAGTGTTGCTTTTACGATAGAACAAATATAAGGATATCTTCAACTATAAATATTGTAAAGCCTCAGATTATTTTAATAATTTATAATTTTAGAGAAAACTAAACAATTCCAACATAATAAGAATCAAAGCTACACCAGAACTATCCATTACTCCCATCGGTGATTACAAAATTCCAATAGTATTATACAAGAAACTCAAACGATCGACGTTACGCACGCTACGTTGTCACGGTAGGGCTAAATTACACTTTTTGTGAGCTAAAATTAGACTAATCAGCATTGAGTACAAAGAATCACATCGCTTTCATCATCGACACGATGATGTTTACTCGCATCTTCCGAGAAACCGACCCCAACATTCAATACTTGGAAATAAATATGTACGGATAAGTTTGACATTTGCTTTCATGTACGCTCGAATGTTTCATGTGTAATTATGATCAGTGCGATCGGTTTTATCGCTTTAGTATTAAGGTTTCGATTTGTGTGTTCATTTTTTTAGATTTTCGTTATTAAATTATCGTGCGTGGCGATTTCGGAGATGATAGGTTGGTTTGATGGGCGTCTGATTGCATCTCTTGTGGACGTTTCGAATCCGTTGCTTTCTCTTTGATTGGCTGCGATTAAAGGCGCGTTTGTCTTGTTTGACGTCTATGAGGTCAGAGGCAATCACTATAAATTGGTTTGAAATTCGTTCGTTTTTGCTCCTAGGTGAATGGTAACTCTAATTCTATCTATCTACTGTGATTATATTTTGCTTTTGCATTATTCTGAAGAATTAAAATAATGACTTCCTTTCAAATAATTGACATATAAAAAGTATATAATATTGATTCATACTTTTTGTTTTGCGTTGTGTTCGTTTACTGCGGATTAGTTGGAAATATCAAATAATAAAGTACTTCATGACTGTCTAGTCCATAAATGTAAAAATTTTTCGAGACATATATTCCGTACGTGATTTGTCATTCGTTTTCAAAGATAATTCACAACCGAACCGACTAAGTTTACGACGCCGAAGCTTAATAAGAGAAACTCGTGCGACCAAAAATAACAAAATTAAAATAAATCGAACGACAGACAGTCGTCATAAACTAATTTCGAATGTTTTCCTTTTGGCGTACGAAAATAGCGTCATCACTCTTTCATGTCCTGCGCTGCAGTGACATTAAGAATTTACTGTTTTGGATTTACTGCACTATGTACCCATGAAATTACCTAAAAACATTTTTTATATTATCTATAATTAAGATTCAAAATAATATAAGTGAAGCAATAGAATTCTATCAATCAGTTGATAACTAACGAAAGTTAGGGTGGAAAGTTAGACCGAATTAGAATACAACCTATATTTAGAATTAACATTTATAATGCTAACATTTAGAATTTCTAAAAATATAGTAGTAGTATATTGTAGTACAATAGTAGTAAAATATAGTACAGTATATAGTAAGTATATAGTATGGTATTTATTTTAAAAATAAAAATTGTGATATTTAGATTATATTAAAACGTGAAGTCAAATGTTTCTAATTTTTATTAGATCCTTGGTAAAAGTTAAATGAAAATTGCGGCCCAATCATAACCAATTCTGAAGGAAACCATAATCAAAAAAGTTATTTTAGAAGTGAATCGTTTATCGGCTGTCATCAAAAAGAAATAACATTTCAACCCTTCTAACAAACTTAATTTTAAAATCGACTAAAGGGAAAAAATCCTTCGAGCAAAAAGTTTGTCACATCGTCGATAGAGTTCATTCAAAGTTATCTTCATTCAAATTTGGTTAAAGTATTTGTTGTTTAATGTTTACTTTATTGTCTATACTAAAATTATAAAGAGGAAAGATTTTTTCGTTTGTTTATTTGTTTGTACCGAATAAGCTCCGAAACTACTGGATCGATTTAGATGAAATTTGGTATGAAGAGACCCTAGAAAGGACATAGGATAGTTTATATCCCGGAAATCATCTCTTAAGGCGGTGAAAATGGGGATGGCAGTTTGAATGGGGAATCAAACATCAACCTAGAAACGAACCCAAGCGAAGCGAGGGTTAGTCGCCAGTTATTTATAACATTGGTAGAGACATGATGAAATTGTCACTAATAAGAAATAATCATATCCAGTTTTTGGTAATTTTGTAATCTGAAAATGTTTGTAATCCCTTTTTACCTACAAAACCAAAACAAAACGGGGCATATGTGTATTTATACATATATATATGCATTTCTTTTAACGAAATAACTCTATACCATTTTCAATATACGAAATTAAAGCTAAAGAATTTCCCGCTTACATTAAAACCTAAACTGATTTCGTGGATCCTTTCACATCACGTTCAAAAATAGTCCATTGAGAGAAATAAAGCCTCCAATTCACTATAACGCAGATTTTGGCGATTCAATGCACTAATGACGGCACGTGAATGGAAGAATTCAGTTGCAGCCAGTTCTTTGGCTTGAATGAATGCGTTTTTGACTATTTGCACTCCTTTTAACATGTTCTAGTTGGGTAAAACACTGGTAATTGAAGATAATTCATAAATGCTAAAGCGGGATTCTTTATATGCTTATTTATATGTTGGTGGAATGAGCTTTATAAATATATCTTAAAATTATTTACTTGGAATTTTAATTATTTAATATTAGCGACTCACATTCGCTTTGCTCAGGTTCGTCCCTAGGCACATTTTCACGTTTAGTATGGAATAGATGTTTTTAATATTTTTTCGTGAAATTTTCCGATGTTTTAATAGTTATTCTGCTATTCGAGGTGAAGACATATCCAACAAAACAAAGATCATAAAAATCGGTCCAGCAGTTCTCCCGAAAGCCGACTTGATTTTATATATATAGATTATACCTACGTTTAAAATTTCCATTTCTTCATTAAAGCAAGTTAAGGCAGAGAAATCAAAAAATTTAACATTAGAAACTATTACCTCAATAGCTTTTAACCCATTTAGGAATAACAAGTAGAGTACATATATCCCAACGGATCCCGTAGGCGGCGGTGTCCGAGAAATAAATGACTAAATCGATTTTAATGCTGCATCATTCGTTTACACTAATATTGATTGATTGCGCCACAATCGATATATTTTATTGGGTTTGTCACCGTTTATGAAGTATTAGTTGAAATTAATTAGAAACTGTTTATTACTTTTAACCACTTTACATTATGAGAAGTCACGTAGCTATTTTTAGTTATAATTTTCCTTAAAAATTAAATATTATGAGAATTTTTAAAGGCTTAGGCTTGTTTTGGTGTATTGAATTAAGATAGTAGGTAGGAAGGAACACATCTTAGTTTTGATCTGTAACTTAAATAGTGTTATATACTTACTTTTTATTAAAATTCGTAAGTAGAAAGAAAAGAAGGGCTTAAAAAATATATACAAATATTTATTTATGTAACAGAACTGGGTCAAGGAGCTAGTCTCGACAATATATTTGAAATTCATTAAGATTTTCCTCGAACTGAGCTAAGTAACTGGCATTAATTGGCGTACTGCGGTTGTGGGTACAAACAATGATATTTATTCAGTGCAAGGATTACCGTTCGGTGCCGATCAATCATCCCATTGAACGTATCCTGTAACGCTAGTGCTGTGTTGCTGATAGTGTATCGAGATGATTGATATGGAAACACGTATATGTATTGAATTGTATTTTACATTTTTCTTTGAATTAGTATTTAGTACTTAATAATAATATATTTTATTGTCCTAAAATTTGATATATTTAACCATATAATAACATTATTGTTTTAGGCAATAACCATAGAATATCTAACAAATATAGTAAAACCTACATCAAATATTAATACAAAAATTAGTTAAAAAGTCTTTTTAGATTTCTTTTCCAAATTAAAAAAAAAAGAAAAAAAACTAGTTCTCTTTTATGGAGATAGATACAAAAATCAAAACAAGCTATCGATAGCCCTCCATCCCTAGATCGAGCCTGTCAAATCCAATTCAACGATGCCCCCGCACATGTAATTGATTTATTGATCGTACGTTACATTCGATACGTAGCGCAGGCGCAAGGCTATTGCATTTACTGTAATTTTCTACCCGTTTAACTGCTGACCTCATATATATAGCTCATCCTTTTCATACGGGATGTAATGATATATCAATTTTGATTATATTTCATTTCTAGTTTCACTTTTGACATAATAGCTATACGGGCTATGTCAGTAAAGGGTTTAGCTTTTGTGCAATTTTGTTTTGTTTTTGTAAGAATACAATTTTTCTTCAGAAAAATGTATGATAAAAATATAAGTTTTTTTGAGATATAAATAATGGAATACTCGTGGGGTTCGATTTATTGATTATTGCTTTGAACCTACTAAGCAAGATTCTGAAACGAATTAAAAAAATACGTTTAAAGTTTAAGAACGAGTGACTAAGATACAATACTTTACCTACTATTAATATACTATGATATTTTCCTCATTTGTAATAAAAAAGTATCATTATTTTAAGAACTTACCTCTTTTTCTTTGGCAGCAAGCTCATTCTCCAGGCTAGCGTTAGGATTGACCACGGGGCTGCTTCTCGAGGAGTTACTGTTACTCCTCGCCGTCGCCGCCATCTCTATCTTTTGCTCTAAATCCTCATCAATATCTGGAGACTGTCTCTTCTCTTCTTTAATATTTGGACTAAAATCTGGTATTCTAGTTTCTGTAGCCTGGTCTCGTGTAGGTTCTATGTGAGAGCCATTGGTTTTTGGGGGTACTGTGGCTTGGAGGGGTGTCGGGCTGGTGGTAGCAAGCTGTTCCTTCAGCGTCGTTACCTCCTTCTCCGCCAGGGTAGCTCGCTGGAACAAAATAAAATTTTAATTAGTTTTGTGTACAAACTATCAAATATTTAGTAGATACCTACTTGAGGAAAAAAAAGTTACACAGACTATACATAAACTTAATTTATAAAACAATTTTTCTCTATTTAAAAACTATTCTATGAAAATATAATTAAATGTAAGTCATTTTAATTATATCTACGGTTTACAGAGCCTTACCGTTACAGTGTGAGTTCCGCAATGGATTTTAAATTTTAACAGTTAATTTATAGAGTTGCTATTCCCATACAACGTTTGCTGCAATAGAAACATCGATTCGCATTTCCACGTGTTTAATCTAATTATTAATCAGTTCCCATAGCCTATTTGTTCTTATGACCGGTGACGTAGAGTCCTTTGTGCTACATCCTGTGTAATTCATTGCTTGCTAATCTCTGGATCTCATCAAAACGGATGTATGCTGATTATTGGCCGGCACAAAAATCGTTTTCATTCACATTTTGGTTTTGTTAATGGTTGAAACTGCATTTTCATTATTGTTTTTGTTTAGCACCTTGCATGGGTGAATTGGTTTAGTATGACTGAAGCTCTGTAAGCCCACAAAAGTATTACGACATAACGTTCATCTCTTTAGTGTCCATAATATTATGTATAAGCAAATATATTTTTGAGATTCTTTCGAATATAACATACAACATCTGTATCATCTAAGATATATATAATCTATAAGTTAAGTTAAAATAAAATCCATCCAGTAGGTAAGAGCATGATGCGTGAACATAAATTATTACACCACAAGAGTATAGATAGATAGGAAATTACTCGTAATTGAGGTGTAGTTCTAAACAAAGCAATAAAACGAGTGAAACCCGATCAGAGTTTGAACAGATTTCAGTAATTAAAACGAATGGGGAAAAGTATCTGAAATGCACGCGTGTATGCTTGACGTGGGCTGATAACATCGTTGTTAAGCAACTGGCACACTGGCGGTTTTATATTTATTATTATTTATGAAATGCGTTACGCGATTCACTTCTTAAGAAGTAGAAAGAGAGAATGTTGTAGAAATATGCTTGCATCTAAAATTTTCTTTTAGTATACGTTAAAGTGTTTGCCTACGCGGGACTAAACTTGCGATCAATTGCGTGGTATTGCGATATGAATCACGTACATTGGTTCTATTAATTTTATGGTCATCAGATAAAACTTATGAAAATATTTCATAAAAATGATGAAAATAAAAATGAACGTATAGGTGAAGCTTAACAGACGTTGCGTACACGCACATTTCACGTGCGATGAAATCAAAGATTGCTGGATTAATGGCAACTGGGATCTTGATAACTAGCGCCTTCTCGCCCAGTTCATTTGTTTGATTACTCCTAACATTGTTATAAAGGAGCAATGACTTATCATCAGCCCGTGACTATTATTCCTATTAAGAATCAAATATTGATGTGTCCAGAAATTATAAATGGGAATGTTCGCTGAAACAATTGGGCAGATTTCGATGAAAGTTAATATAAAGATAGATATTGACCTGGAGTAAAATATTATACTATGTTTAATCAGGAAAGGTCAAATTAAAATTTTATCAACAGCTTCTATATGATCATTAAAAAGATAAGCTCAAAATCTATTGCTCCAATTGCTATTAATAGACCTAGTTATGAAGGTGACCAAGCATTTGAGACACGTTAACTCACAAGATATCGTGATTCAGACAATAACGACAGGAGTGATCAATCACGCTCAATTGCTGGAGTGAATCAAAATTACGTAAGCGACAATACTTTAGCCTGCCTACGATTCTGTGATAAGTGGGATGAAAACAATGATCCAATACTGAATGAGATATATCCAGTATTAGCTACGTCGCCAAACTGTTAATCTCTTCGTCGTGTTATATATAAATACTAAATAGTAATAATAATCCACCAATTTTCACATCTTATGTTCTATAATACTTTCTTAGATTTACGCGAATATTTGACATTTTAAACAAAACTATCTTTTCGGATTTTTTCGCGGATTTATTTGGATTTTTGGTTCCCGAAGTTTCGAATGCTTTACAGCATTCATGGTCACGGGAGAGACTGAAGTGTTAGATGTCTCGAAGGTATAGTTGTTACAGACAGCCTACCCACAATTAACAAAATGAAAATTGCACCAATTACATTACGATATTTTTTAACTTTAAACATTTTTATAATTTTAATTAGTTTTATAATTGAATATGTAATATTATTTATTTAATTTTTGCTGTTATTAATATAATGATTACAATTTTAAAAATATTAATTAGTAATCTATATTTAGTGTCGCCATTATTATATTTATAACCATAAAGAAAAATATAAAATATGGTATTAATTATTTAAGCCATATAATTGTTCTATGTGTAATTTAAAAAGTTAAAATTAATTAAGGATAATAAGTTTAATTTAGTTTGCTATTATTTAAAAAGACAAATTATTAAGCAACACTATTACTATATACTTTTACCATGAATGAATTTGGCTAATTCGTTCATGACTTTTACAAATGAAAAATGAAAAATATTAATCTGATATGCTGTCATTTTGATCCACACAGTAAGAACTTACTACATCTGTCTGTCTGTTATGTTTAGATTTATTATTTTATTATATTCATAATAAGATCCCATGACGATGGTAGTACCCAGCCATCTTCCCTATTGAAATTTTGATGTTTGAGTAATTGGTGCAATCTTCATTTTGTTATTTGTGGGTAGGCTGTCTTTAACAATTATACCTTCGAGACATCTAACACTTCAGTTTTTCCCGTGACCATGAATGCTGTAAAGCATTCGAAACGTCGGGAACCAAAAATCCAAATAAATCCGCGAAAAAATCCGAAAAGATAGTTTTATTTAAAATCTTATGTTCTACCTTATGATCATCTTTGATTGTGAGGGGATTAGGTCACAGTCCACCACGATGGTCAAATGTGTTAACCCCTTTGCGTCCTCAAAATTCATATATCCTACCAAAACGAGTTAGGTTTTCGCAGACGAGCAACTTTCCTAGTAATATTTCCTCTCGCTATATAAGTGATAATCTCGAAAACGAAATTCGGATTCAAATATCGAAGTATGAAAGACCCGGAAGCGAAAGTTCAACATAAGAATTTCACATTTCGATAAAACGAAACACTCAGGTACCTATATAAAAATTCTTTTTAGACTTCATCAACATTTAACGATAAGTGAAAGAAACAAAAATAATTAACATGTACCCATTATTGCGCACATTCTAATCTAATTATACAAATCCGTTTGAATTTTCGACCGAATAATCTTATGTTTACAACTAGAAAGTTAGAAATTTGAAAGCGATGCAATCATTGCGGTAATTCATTATAAAATCATGAATGTTTACCTACAATTATAAATAAGTTGCGATCCACAGTATAATTGTGAGAACACCAGTGTAAGACATAATAAAAATAATTCCGGACTATTAAATATAACCGAAACTTCGTATTAGAAGAAATTCTTTATAATAATGAGGCGACAACGCCCAAATAGTTGCTATTAATGTGAGAAAGATTTCACAATGACGAAAGTATGGGCAAAGTAATTAGGAATTGATTTATTTTAGTTTGAACAAAAGCCATGTCACGGATATGAAGCTGGTATATTTAAGTTATTTTTTATTGTCAAGTGAATTGTTGTTTTCGTTATGTTTGTATGGAACTATTATTTTGAAAATCTGCAATATATGTTTGTTAAACATTATTCCCTCCACGGACGCGGACACGTCGGCGTTACACTTAACAATAGATTTATTAGAAATTTAATTAATTTCCTAGAAGTTCACCTGGAGGTGTTAAAAATGTATGTATGTATTATTAAAGAATCTTTTAACAAAAAAGTAAAACAATAAAGTATTAAAGTTGATTCCTATAAATAAATAATTGAATAAAAAAATATCGGTATGTCCGACTTCAAATAAAGAGGAAGCACTAAATTCTAGGTTTTTGAAGCAGCTTTCAAGATATTTAATAAATAGACTTCCCCACGTAAATCCTAAGAAAAATTTCTTCCTCTAAGGTAATAAGTACTTTTAAGTTAAAAGTTTTGATAACCACACCTTCAGCTTCGATATTGCAAAACAAACAAATCGAACCCGATTAAAGGCACACAATGCCCGCTCTCCGAACAATACAACCTCCAATCCCACGGTATCTGTATTAATTTCTGTCCTTTCATCAGCATTCATCAATCGGACCTCTATTTATTAAATTAAGGAATAAATCAAACTTTGCGAGTTCCATTGTTTACGTAACTGTTTGGAAATTAGAGAATTGATCGAAGAAATTTAAAAGCTTGTTTGTAGCGACAGTCCTTATTATATTTGGACGTAAGTATTGATACTAATAAATTGCTAAGGATTCCTTAGATCACATAAATAAAATGAATTCCGAGTGTGATGAAGCATAGGTTTACTCGCTGTAATAATATTGACTTAAATCTAACAATCCTGTTAGTAGTTCTGGATTAATTTGGTATTAAATGTTTACACTGACTTACGGTCGTACCAATTTTTGTATATGTATACATTTTATGTATAAGTAAATTAAAACAAAATTAAGTAATGACTTCATGATATTCATATTACATATGATATACATATAGCGATTGTTGTTTTGTTTGTTTGTGCTTATAAAAAATATTTGCATGAAGGCTATCTAAAATCATGCTACGATACGTAGGAAAGGAGTAACTTACAAATAAACTACACACGTAAAGCCGCAGTTAAAATCTAGTTTAAACAAAAATCGCAAAACCATTTTAAAATAAGCTTACCCCGTGGCCTCGCTCGCTCGAACCTAAAAGTCGTAGTACTATTCCTTCCTTAAGAATTGTGCTATCAAAAGCAAAAAACATTTTTCAAATCCGACTGGTAGTTTCAGAGATTAGCGCACAAAAATACAAACATACTCTTTTACTTTAATATATCTACGAGTATAAATAACTAATTACTCAAGGTTAA